ACGGCGAGGAGGGGTCACCCCACACCATTCACACCGACCCCTACAGCCAGTTCTGGTTGGGTAAACGGCTGCAGATCATCAGTCCTGTCTTTCCAGATCCATCACGAAAGTTAGGTCAGTGCTCTTCATCTTTTGGGCCATCCACTTATCAAACTTCTCGTCTATGTCGGGGGTAAATACCTTTTTCCAGTTGCCTGTTTTTCCTTGCCGGACAAAATTGCCACGATCCGGGTACATCAGTGCCTTTGCCCTTGCATCCTCCTTGTTGACGTGCGGGTTTTTCTTGAAGTTGTCTATGTGCAAGTGCTCTGCCAGCTTTTCCACCTGTTGGTCCGAATAGGACTTGCCGAAAAATGTGGCCACTCGACGTATCTGTGACTTCAGGTCCCGCTTCATATCCTCGAAGAAGAGGAAGCACATGTTGGGATGATGACGCAGGTTCCACGCCTCAATCATATGCTCGCACATTGTGGCTGACATCATTGTGCCGTCTGTGAAATCATCCACGAAGAGCTGAAAAAGAGGCCAGCCACATGTTACACCTCGTTTTTCTCGAATGTGAGCCTATCAGACCCACCATGGAACGTAGTACAGACAGTATTTCGTTGAGCCAATCGGTACTGATATTGTGCGCAAAAGCCCAGGTGGAAATCTTGCTCCTCCTTCAGGCATAGAACCGATCAAAATGACGTCATGTAGGTAGATATACACAGAAAGGCGTAATCGGCCGCCTGGTTCAGCTCACCGGCCGGCCTCTCAAAAGGTCAGTGCGCGGCCCACTGCCATCCGTTCGATGTCATTGCGATGCCACTCAATTACGATGTCTTTGCTCGCGGAGATAGTGAGGGCACACAGTTAAGTAATATTGCGATCGAAGCCATCCTTTGGGGGTAAGACGCCCACATCCGTACGGACCTTGCACTCCGTAAAGCCATGCAGCCTTGCATGACTGCACAGTTATACTATACGGCGCATAGCGGGACCAGCCTGTCGCCTGCTGTATGCAGGTGTCCACCAGACCCAGCCGCCTACCCCGCAGTTTTGAATATTGTTCCCCACTTCCTCTCACCGGACCGTTTGAACTAGTTGACATAATGAAATAGAGCCACGTAATTAGTTAGCTAGGTTCGCAGGTCAGATTGAATGGCTTACGAGTGGGTACCACGCAGTCATTTCCTGAGTCATATTTTGCAATTCCCGTCGATGCTCTGGTCCCCCCCCCCGCTATAAATCAACCCCATCAATAATCTAATCACATTAGTTTATGTTACTACTGGCATGATACTGGCATGAGGACGTGATGTCCACCAGGAAGGCAATTGATGGGTACGATTTGCAAAACTGTACATGTGGGGCACCCTTGTTTTGTGTGCTAAATGCGTTTGCGATGATGCGATGATGCGCTTGTGATGTTCGTTTTTGTAAGTTTGGGTTGCAGTACTTTCGATCGCAAAAAGGCTACCATGCCAGGGTACCTGCCTATTTTATTGTTTCCTCCGCTACCTGTATGAACGCAGCATAGTGCGAGATGTAACATTTCTAGATGATTCATGCTTACCAACAAATACTGGGTACAAGAAAGAGAAGCCTTCAGCTCCTGTTTTTCGGCACTAGGAGTTAAAAGTTGTTATGCTCAGTTAACAACTTAAATATACGGGAGCTGCTGGTTAAACGACGTTATAGCGCTAAGCAATGATTATATTGGCGGTGATCAATATTTCGAGCTGCGTTCATCTTCCAAAGAAAGAGCGAGCGCAGCTCTTGAGGAAGAACACAGTTTGGAGACCACTATTGAGGATGAGTGTGAGTTAAAAACCCATCTTGAGGAAGGATAAGCGCAGCTTGAAGCCGTCTGTTGAGGACGAATACAACTCGAAATATGGTGTAGCGCCAATATAATCATTGTTTAGAAATATATCGTCGTTTAACCAGTACCTCTTGGTGTATTGAAGGTGCTCAGCTCGGCATAATAAATTTGAACTCATAGCATAAAAAATATTTAGCATTCACTTGTGTGTGTGTGTGGGAGGGGGGGGGGGGTGAATTTGAGCCTCCGAAGCTTTCCAGAATTATTTCTGAATGGTACGGGTGTAGCCGCGCCAAACTTTTCATGCCTTCAAGAAATTAAATGAAAGACATTGGGTGAAAAACAATAGATGTGCATTACAATTTTTCTGACCTATGGCAGGTCAAAGCCAGGCCGTGGCTATCAGCCAACGCCATTTCTTGGGAATCGTCCAATGTGATACGACAGTGGAGTGCTAGACGAGTCCATACATCTCTGAGATAGTTTCTCAAGTAATACGCCAGCTAAATTTATATTTCTTTACCACGAATTCCATCGACCTTGGATCACGTATGAAGGTCAGACCGAGATGGAAACTAGCCTGAATTTTTACTCGAGAGCTTGCTCTATCGTGTAGTTTTTGGCATCCATATAAGTTCGTTAATGATGAACACTGCAGCATCTGTCTTCAGTGAACTTTCTTAAGGTCAGAGCAGGTCACTGACCTAAAATGACCGAGGCTCACATTTTGTTTTTAGGAACATATCACCTGACATAATCCCTGATGCCTAGTTGAATAGCGAAATAGGGGCAATTTGGTAGGGTTTGGTCACATTGACCTTCCAATTGTCAAGAAAGGTCTCTCACCTTAGATTAACACCATGAACCTCTTGCTTAGAACAGGTATCTATGTTCACGACGGTTGCATGAGGAGGTGTGGGAACTTTTTGCACACTAATTTGGAGTTTGACCTTGTTAGACCTCACTGAACCCAAAAGCCACGACCCAGGAACCTCAAATTTTGACACAAGGAAATTAACATACAGACCAACTTGCTCTTTGAATTTGGTGTCGCTAGTTACCTCAGTTTTTCAGATGTTAGGGGGCTAAATTGACCCCCTCTCGAGCGTCTAGAAGTTACCCGGCCAGCCGGACACGTGTTATTAACCAGCCGTTGCCAGCCGGGCAACGTGTGGTGCGGTTGTGTGGTTATTGGTCAATGACTTAAACGAGGATATTGCACTCATCATGTACTGCGATGCAGTTTTGCTTGTTTCTCCCTATTGACATACTTTTTTGATAATTGAGGTACTGACACACGAAAAACTGGCAGCGCTTTCAGTCGTGATACCCATGTTTACATCCATATTTACTAACACTCTATCCCCAGCCATACCTGGACCCGTAACTGCTCCGAATATCCCCGGCCATACCTGGACCCGTAACTGCTCCAGACTTTGCGCTGAATCCGTGATTTTGCCCTCTCGAGTCGCGTACCCACTGGTATACACGGCGCATGAAGGCCTCGTATTGTGATGTTATGCCATGCAGTGCCATCGTGATTTGGCACAACTCGAACATCATCCAATGCTTAATTAAAGACTGAAATTCTTTGCTAAGCTTTTAGTGGCTTCACATGACCTCTTTAAGCGAAAGCGTGACCGTGTTCTGCCATGGTAATGTCTAAACATGCAGAAACCAATGGTTTTGCGTTAACATATTTCATAAATTAATTACCTTTACCGTGCAGTCAGTGCCTAACATGCAATTCTCTACAGCAAGCCGCCAAGTGCTTAATATCCTTAGGACACGGATACATCCCCGTTAAGCTCCTGCTCGACGCGATGACTCTTCAGCCTTCCGCTTGAAGGACAGGCTGGAAGTTTTTGAAAAAGCCGCCGCTGCAGGGGCAGACAAAGACGTTTCGGCCGCCGTTCTACGCTTTTGGTAGGAACAAGGCAGATTTGACCGCCACCCCCTGCTTAGTTCAAGAGCGGCTGCACCGAATTTAGGAATTAAAATGGTCATAGATGACACCGTGGTGCGCGACTGTTTGAAACTTCATACAGGCATTCATCACAGTCATATCCAGGAAGTACCGTTTCATGTTTTTATAATTTTCATTTAAGTCCAGAACTTTTGAGCTTACTTTAAACATTATTTTGGTTATCTGACATGCTCATGTGTAAAGGTGCAACACTGAAACAACACAACGACATGACAGATCAATGTTAAACCAATCGGTTCATATTTCCTGTTTTTGAGTGATGGCGAATATGCGACAGGGGTCAGGGCAGATTGAACCCCTCTCGGCCAGTGACAGTTAAATATGCCTCCCCCGTTATTCGTCTTAGTCCTGAATCGGCGTTTTTGCAGTATAGGAAGAGGATGTAAGCAAAAATGCGGCATATGGAACGGATTGGAGCGGGGATCTTTAACTACCAAGCTGGTTACAGTACATGTAAGGTAGACAAAGTTGATTCCATCGCTGCGCACAAAAACGTCTATGCAAATCGTACGTACCTTCGGCCTGCTAACGCCAAGGGACGTTTAGGTATTGGCTCACCGACTATAATGGTTTTTACTCCAGTTAGGGCTACCCATCTCGTTCCTAAAGAAGAGGAAGCAAAGGTGCAATTTAACGTACATCAATAGTCCCGAATAAAGCAAGAGGGAAATACGAGCGAAAGGCGTTAATAGCTGTGAACCTCATACACTGAACATTTTTGTAGTGGAGGCCTAGAAGCACCTCCACGCAAGTACTATTACTAAGTAGGCGAGTGCATGCTTGGCTATCCTCATACATACCTCGCTGCGGGTTATACGAATACATCTAAATTGTTCTTAAATGCAAGGACCAATCAGGATCTACATAACGAACCACATGCCCTGGAACGAGAAATGAGATCACGAACGCACCTTCAGGTCCCCCTTGAAATCACGGAGCTTAAACAGCTTGCAGTGATGGTAGTAAGATGTACAAGCGTCCTTCGGGTTCCTGGCCACGTAGACAACCTTGCAGACGTCTAGTAGGCGCGGGTTGTTCATGCTCATGGGCATGTGCGACTTGATGTAGCGTGGAGACGTGCGGATGTGGTCGCCAGACGTGCCAGTCCAGTCTTGAGGACTACCACCAACGGATGGTGGTAGTTCGGAACAAACGGGTAAAGCGAAACCTTTGTCCCGACGAGCGGCAAAGTCCATGTAATGCCACCTGAAAAGATATTCGTATTAGGGTGTGTCATCGAGGGGGTGGATCTCTTGGAATCAGCTGAGACAAAGTTATTCCTTGGCACACGGATTAATGATAAACGTTCAGGTCTGTCGCACCTCACCAAAGTTGATATTCGTCGGTCGCGAGTAGTTGTTCTTTCATAGGCCAAGACAACTGTATTCGATACTAGCGCCACCTATTTTACGCACTGGGGTCATCATACAATACGCCTCAAAGCTGCCACTTTCCACACTGCCGGTACATGGTGGATTAAGTATGAAGTAGGTATCATGAAGAGCACCAGCAAAGCATTGCCAAACGGCTTTTAAGCTGACTTTTTAATAAGAAACAACTCATTCTTGGTAAAACCCGAGGCTGCGCAGCTATGAGAATGCTGTAGCAGACCAGGTTAGGTTCAAGTTTGTTATTGCTAGCGCGTCATTGTGATATTGATTTGCAATTTATATGCTTTTTGCGGGGGAGATATGGGTTTATTAGTTTAGCTATGCCGGTACTGAAACGTTTCTTTCGAACAATTACTTGCATAAGCATGCCGAAGGCTTAACGGTCGCGCAGAAAACATTTTGTGATAAGCCACCCGTCTCCACTGTCCCACCACCAACTGCCAACAACGGGAAAGCCTGGAGCTACATGAGGTGGCTGAGCGAATCGAAAAGGAATCTCACTAATACCATCTTCAAGACAGCAACGGTAGAAACCAGGGAACTGTGGACCAACGAAGCGATCCCTGTTCATGATCTGAAATGCGTGACAAAGTTGATCGAGAGGGATTGATATCATCCCAACAAAGCTATCAGGAAGAAATCAAAGAATGAAAGAGAGTGTCACAGCAACGCCGCCACCGCGAAGTTCAACAGGCTTCTTGATGTCGCGGAATACAAGTGCAAGCTTCAGTGCAGCTTTCCATGCCCAGTTGCCTGCACAGTGTATCGCGAGGAGGTTGCCATGAGGGACCAGTGCAGGCACCGGAAGCTTCCCCTGGGGTCATATGAACGGCATACGATTGTGACTAGGGAGGTATTCGAGGTACGGAGGATGGCCAGACAACTTCAAGGTTGTCGTGGCTCGGCCGCCAGTGAGGCGGTGTATGCTGCTGAGCCTGAGTCGCCTTCCCCGCCGGCTGCTGAGCCGGCGCCACCTGCTGAGCCGGCGCTGACTGCTAGTGCTGACCCCGAGCCTGCTCCGGGGCCAAGTGGTCTCAGCGCTGGTAAGTCAGCCGAGATTCTTACACGGTTCCGTACATCGTGGAAGGTGGCAACGACACCGATTGCTCGTTCCGGTTGAGACCACTGCCAATGTAGATTATAGCGTTAACGATCTGACTTACACCACTCTGGCGGTTGACAGCTACGGTGGCTCGACGCTGGCCGCTGCTGCTATCATCAACGCTTTTCAACAAGACGGTAGAGACGGACTGGCTACCTGAAATCAAACATCGTAGATCCTAAGAAGATCTACTGCGCAAGAGACAGCGGGAGAAGAGAGACGGCTCGTTAAAATTTTGAAGCAATCCATGAGTCAGGTTTGACCATCCTCTATTCCGACGGCCGTGAAGGCAGGAGCTACATGAGCCACACGGAGCCAGACGAATGCCGGCGAAAAACACGAAGTTGCCATCACTGAGCCAGGCAGCCGCCACGTGACTCATTTTACGTCCGAGTTCGGCCGCGCTCTGCACTTGTTCAGCTGCACAGCGGCAACGAGCTGAACCTACCCCCATCTGCTGCTGAGCCTGGATGGCACGACCACAGGATCGATATTTTTTCTAGACCCATCGGCAAGGCCTGTGCTGGAGAGGTCTGAGAGAGGGACGTTGTGGCATTCAAGCCTAGGTCGGGGCCCGTGCCAAACCTGCCGGTCGACCTGATTCAGCAGCTGAGCACCAACCAGCAGCTGCTGTACCTGTTGGCCTCCGGCGTTCAAAACGGCTCTTTCTGAAATGCGGCGGCCCAGCGGCGAATCGGACCATCGAACCAGGTCAGGTGAATATGAAAACGCATTATCCTTAAAGTTATAGCAATCGGTGTTTAAAGTTCACTAAGTATCATTTGATATTTCGTATGCTCACTGTTGAGTATTTACTTATTATCATACCTTGTGAGGTGTCATATCGCATCATTTGCTGGTTGGTTCATGCTTACTAACATGTTTTTTATATGTATCCTGTCACATTTAAGGGCTCTGGAATAATTACATACACTAAAGGGGCACAATAATTTTGCAAGATCTAATGCTCAGTTCGTATCAAATTGTTCTAATAAATTCGCTTTCGTTTTCAGATGGTTGACACTGGCCGCTCGTCTGCTCCTAGTTAACATTTCTACCGAGACCTCCAGCAGCGCTCTCAAGGACCTCGCCCAGGGCGTGGTCGGCCTTTATGTGCCGGTATGGTCCGCCATCCGGCAAAACAGCGGCTGCGACTTTGGCTTACGCAGCTTGTTCCGGAGCATCGCGGTGCCCCGCGACCTGCTGCGGCACACATAGTCCTCCAGCATAGCAGGTACTGGGTCCGTTCGGAACAGCTGCTGCTGGATATGGTGCGGGATGAGAACCGCATGGTCCGCGAACAGGCGGTTCCGATCGTCGCGCCGCTCGTGAGCAACAAACCGAGGGCCTTCTTGAGGCCAGGGTCTTCGCCATGTCAGCGGTAAGCCTCGAGGCCGTGAGGTACACCGAACTGATTCCCTGGCACGGACCAGCCACACAGCCTCTACTGCGAGACCTCAGCGGCTGCGAGCTGCGGGACAAAGTGCAGGCACCGCTGACCATCTTGCCTATCTGGTTCACACTAGGAGTGCGACGCAGCACCGCACTGCCGAGGACGTCTGCGGCTGGAGATGGAGCTTCGGCAATATGTGGAGCCCAGCTGCGACGGTATTTCTGCTACCGTGTGATCTCTGCCAACACGCGTTTTGGGTTTCCTGTCTGTGAGCAGCTGCTGCTTGGGCCGATGCATCGAATACACAGGTTCGGCAAAGAGCAAGATGTGCATGGGGTCACCCTACGGCCCCTCCCCCCCCCCCCTCTACGTTCGTGGTACAGGTTGCAGAACTTGCTGTATGTATTAAGTTGTACATCAGACAATGTATTTTGAGTCATATGCTATGCATAGTTTTGTTTGCATCACGTGAGTTGTTTTGGAGAAGTGAAAGTCTAAAGCAATACTAGTCAACATACTCGTACGAGTTCATACTCAACAGTACATACAGTTTCCGCCAAATGGCAACCAATCAAGCAATGCCTGATCTGCATATTAGACCTTAGACCGAGACATTCTCGTACGACGGCTTAAGGAGCGTTCGGTAGCGTCATTTCTATACGCAAAGGTATTTTGTGTCGCTTGCCACCCACGGCTTAATGTTACCTGCGGCGGCGGACGCCGCCCAGGATGCGGGTGACTGCAACGCCGGGCACTGGTTTACGGCGATATTTCGATCGACCCGCGCCTCACGAATTTAAATTTTTGGGAAGAACTTTTGCTATGCCGTGTACTTCTGGGCTCTTGCGCCAAATAATTCCTTTGTGTCACTTGGTTTTGTTGCTGACGACACACCCTAATGCGTATTGAAGTACCCGGCATGTGACTGATAAACAGACCCAGGCTGCTAGATTATTACCATATATATATATATATATATATATATATATATATATATATATGATGATGATATATATATATGATGATGATGATATATATATATATATATATATATATATATATATATATATATATATATATATATATATATATATATATGCATGTATATATAGAAATGCGTTAAGGACCATACGCAACCAAGACGGGCCATCGTGCCTGATGGCTTCGGCTGGAGATACAGATCTAACAGCTTTAACATTTTTCATGCAACCTAACCCATTAGGTGATACCAGAATCTTAACACGTGCTTCCTTGCCGTACACGGTGAGCAAAACCGACCACGTCCAATGTAGGCCGTTGATATTTTCTGTCTTAGAAGAATAAGAGACAATCTTTGAACATTCTCTGCATTTGTTTTCTCCTGGCTTGCCGGAATCGAATCACCGAATCAATCTTTAACCAACTGTTAGAATGACAGCCAGAAGACGCTTTGCAATGGAACGGAGTGAGCCTTCAGCTGTTAACCGGAACCGGTAATGTGCCCTTGGTGTTCTACTCGAGGAGTCCCTTGCCCGGAAGGAAATAATGGACCTCATTATCGTTGAGTAGAGTGGAGGTCCCATAATTGCTGAATAGAGCAGGTCGAATTAAAGTTTTGGAAAACAAACAAGGCCATCCCATGTTTGCATAAGAACGCTCATTTTTCAGAATGGATCAGTGAAAAAGGCATAAGCAAGTTTGAACATGCCCGCCCACAACCTTCAGAGCAAGGACAGCGATGGTCAGGGTTGCAGCTTCCGTAAAACCGAACGGCTTCGGCCACTGCAAGTACCATCAGACGGCGGTCGCCGTGTTAGTCTGTCTTCTTGACAAATTACTAGTCACAAAAACACGAAAAATAGAGAATCTTCTTTTAACTCTTCCAGTTCCACCACCAGATTTCCGGCACCACCTCGCGATGCTTTAAGGGTCAATCCGGTCTTACCATCAGTCTAAAAACCGCACACGTGAAACATGCGCCCAGACTGCCTTGTAGATGTAAGATTTGATGTCCTGAAGCGTTCAAAGGTATCTCTTTCAGAATCGTCATCATTTTCGTCCACCCGTTGGCCACGGCTCAGTATTAACTGTTAAGCCGACGCTACGCGGCCCACGGAGACTGCAACGCTTGTAGCCGAGGTTTCAAACTAAGATTTGCGAGTACGCATGCTCAAAATGGTGTCACATTATTTTCATTACTAACCGATTCAAGCTTTTAAAGGTAATTGTTTCAGAACCGTTATCATTTTCGTCAACCGGTGGACTGTGACGAAAAGTTAACCACTGAGCTAGCGCTCCACGTAATATGGATACTGCAAGGTCTGGTGCCGAGGTTTTTGTT